CAAACATTTTTGGAACGTTTTTTTGTACATTTTCACAAATACTTTTTTAAATTATGTTGTGAAGAGAAGACATATCCACCTTGACAAACATCTTTTTTTTTTTTACAAGTTATGCTCATTAATTCTCAAAGCGGTAACACGAGGCACTTCCGCTAATATATACAGTATATACAACAGCTTCAATATCCTTAAACCATATAATAATTTAATGCATAAATCATAACGAAAAGCACTGTTACACATAAAGCCACTACAGACATAAGGAATATGATTCAATCGAGATTAATTTCTCAAATTCCACGTTAATACATTACCATCTCTCAATTTTGTAGATTGTTAGAGAATACTTCAACACTTTACTGTTCCAAGCTAAATGTTTGTTTAGCACTAAATGTTTTAAAATAATGATAATACATAGTGTTTTCTACACAGTACATTATGCTACAGTCACTTCTATTCTGCTTTAATAAAGTGGTGTTACAGCACTGAGCTCTTCAAGCAGAATAGCAGACAATGTTTTCTTTTGTGAAAATATCCTGTGGTGAAGTTGAACAGGATGCTTGGGGAATTGAAATAACAGAAGTATCTGTGTTGAGCTTCATTTATTCCCCCTACTCATTTTGATTATGGAACTTTGAAATGAGCAGATTAAATTATGTGTAACGGATTTTAGTGTCATGTAAAACATGCAGACAAGGCAGTATACAGAATGCTAGGCAGCCAGCTCTGAAGTGGCAGTGATTGTAAAATTGAACAGATTAATGATCCATCGTTTGATGTACGGATGCATTTGGTTTGTACCAGTTCTTTTACAGCATATTCACTTCTGCACACAAGAAGTTTAATTTCCTGAATTAACTTTTAGAACAATACGAGCCATTGGCCAGAGTGAATATTTTTGAGAATAGTTCAGAAGTGCTTTACATTTTGCATTTATACTTGTGATTCATTTGTAGCACGGATTTCACCTGCTGTCTTGTCAGATAAGCTCTGGTCCACATTCCCTTCTCTAAATTCTTTCTTCAGATTAGGCAGCAACATCAGTGACCGATAGCCAACAGTGTCTGAGTTCTTAGTCATGACACCAAAGTCACATATTGGTTTGTCTGTGAATTGGATTGGCTGGTTTCATGTGACCCAATCAGTTTGCAGCACCTTGCAGTGGGTAATGTTGTTAGAACAGTATCTACCCAATAGCAGTAATATCAAAATATCTCTAAAAGTAACTGATCCATACAATGTGGAAGTAATAATATTTTTTTCCCAATGTCTATTTAACATGCGTCCTTTAAAAATGGGAGGTGTGGCTAAAGAAATTGTTGAAAATTAATTGTCACTCTCCAGCTCCATTGTAAATTTAAGTATGGCATGATATGTTTCATTTACAATGTTTTAAGCAAAACCATCATTCTTTATCAGTGCATGATAAAGATTGGGAAACATTCCCCACCACATTATACTGTTTGGAGTCTACTATTATTCTTGACTGTTCAGAGATTGGAAAGAGTTTAGGTCCTTTAACTGTCTGAATATCAGAAGAAAATTGTACATTTTTCAGAATTATGAGAAAAAATGGCCTAATAATCTTCATTTCTGCTAAGTAGAGTGTCTCAAATAAAAAACAAAATCTGTTAAAAAAGTAATCAGGTTAGAAATTATGTTCTTGATTGCCTTTTTCATCTCCTCCTGGTCCCTTTCTTCTACTTTACTCTTACAGTAGGTGCTGTTTATTTATAGTTGTTGGAGTAGCCATTGAGCATTTACTACCTATCTACTACTTTACTGCCACAATAAATGTCATGATAAATAAGCATGATAAATCACACAGATATCAGATGTGTTCATTTTTCTTACTTCTGAAAGTAAAGGATCATACAATAAATACATAATGGCAGTATGCTAAGTAGAATATTTCTGACCTGAGCAGATTTACAATGGTTATTAAAAGCTATATCAGCTGTTACTCTTTATCATAAAATCACAGGAGGGAAGAAACTGTTGATCTGAACTGTGTGTATGCCCTTCAGTTGTTCCTCACATTGTAGTTTATGTCTGGTCTTGCCTGTTTTGAAATGTCTAACCCATGCCTTCTGGACGAACCATGATCGGGGAGGCATGTCTAGCAGTACATGAGCTACACCTTATAATGTTGACATAGCAGTGAAAAGAAGTGAATGAGCTCAGAGGCTCTGCTTTAATGAGATGCTGTTCTAGGGCCAGACGTGATTAATTGCTTCTGGCTACCCTGCATTTAAGACATCCATGGGGAAACACAGTTCAGTTGAGAATACAAAGAAATTGGCATGGAACAATAACGGTGTCAGGTTCGACTCCAGGTTCAAGTGAATTTAATTTCCAGGGAATTTGGTAAGCAGATAAATTCTCAATTACAGATTGCCTCCAGGTCAAATACAGTACATAATAAACTGCTAATCAAGAGAAGGTTATTTCAATGGAAGAACTGTACAGGCAATGACTTTCACAGTATTCTTTCACCCTGTTGCAAAAATCGCTTATTCCAGTGCAGTACAGGGTCATGGTGGTTCAAACAATCAGGAAAATGTAAATCATGCCGATGTTTTTGGTTTTGAGTTAAAACATAAAACAATGAATAATGATTGCAATCTTTTAGAGTTTGAATGCAGATGTTGTAAAGTCAGTTCTACTTACTGGCCCTCAAAGAAACTCGATTTGTGAAATTATTTTCGACAGTTTATTTATTTGGGCGAACTATGGCTAAACTGCCCATTAAATATTTTGTGCACAGAATGGATAGTCTGCGCAGGAAACAAAAGACCTTTTGGGTGTGCTCAACATTCAGATCTTGTGCGTCATAAGTAATGTGTTTTTTTATTATTCAGAGTGTGATGGGTCACCACCTCTATTTGAGCAGATCTAGGCAAGCTAGACTGCTGTAAAATAAATGTGCCCTTGCCTGGTCCCAGTAGGATCATAATTAATTGTAAAAATCTGTTTTCTTTGCGTGTTTTTATTTTTAATTTCTGAAGAGGTACAGTAACTAACTTCAACTAAATCCAACATTGCACAGACAAAGCAGGATATAAACAGGAAGCAGAAACTGGACACATGCCTGTCTGCTCCCAAAGTGCCATCTTGTGGTCTCGTCATTCCCATACTTGTGTGAGACAAACCATTTTTGTTAAGTGTTTAAAAAATAAATAACTTTAAATAAAACAGAAGAACTCCAAAAAACAATCGTGCAGCAGTTGCACAAGAAGGTCAATTGGTAAAGCTTAATTTTTATTGCATTTTTGTATATGATTGGTTTTATAATCCATATAAAATGAAGGTTTGTTATTAAGAGACACCATTATTGGTAACAGTGGGGCAGAGAATCTGGTTCAAATGTCATTCAAAACCCTGCTACCCTGGCTCTCTGACAAAGTTGAAAAAGCTGTATATATGTTGTTGGACCTCCTGCCTCAGAACTGTATTTCCTACCCTTTTAGGAAACTTAACAGTTTTGCCATTTTATGTTGCACTTAGAGTTTGCTTGCTGTTATACCTTGTGCTGTGCTAGGATACCAGCCTCTGTGGCTCAGGCCACACTGTAAAAAAAGCATCCTGTTTTTAATTGAGGAACTTAGTCATTCCTGGGTCTTAATGCAAACTGGACTCCAATCAAACCACTTGGCCTCAAGATATAGGAACGTATTATATTATATTATCTAATTTATTGAAGGCCTGTTTGCTGGTTCTAGTCTCTCAGTATATAATGGCATCCAATGCTAATATTAAAGAAAATATGCTACAAACCAAAGCAAAAGATTGGTTTGGTTCTAACTTTATTTCTCATTAATGAAATATGGACTTGGTTCAATTTTGTATTTACTTGTCAACCTGTTATTTTCGTAGGAATGTCTAGTTTTCCTTGAATCCATGGAAAATTAAGAGGAGGACAGGATTTAAATATTATAAGGCCCTCATTGTCCAATTTCCATGAAAATACTGAGCTCGGTGATTGGGATGTTTTCATGGGTGTTTTACCTGCACGTGCATGTTCATTGATAACAATTGATTAAAATGACAAAAAACACCACCCAAACATTTTTGGGGAGCAAAAACTTTCCAGAAGGGAATGTTTTAGCAATATGCAACAACAGAAGACTTGCATTGGATATTTCTGAGCTCCCTGCAGGACCAGAACTCTATTATTAATTTTCTTCAACTGTTCTTAAAGTCCCTACCTTTGTATAGCAGCCAGGACTGTGAAATGTACAGTAGATTAAATAGAATACAAAACAAGTTTCTTTTTATATATCACCCATTCATCAAAATTAAAAAAACAAAGCATATACAAATACAAATGCAGTAAGCATCACTTCCGTAGCAGAAAGGTTTTCAATGTCATTTTATAAGAATCTAGGGTTTCGTTTGCATTCGTGACATAGATTGGGGGCACACAAGAAATTAGTAGCACAGGAGCTGAATGTTCTGAATTTGACTGACTGCAGGTGGTGTCTGGAGAGAACAACCTGTAAAATTACTTTATCAGATATTAGTGAAAGGAAGTAAATATAGAATTAGTATTTCTTGAAAGGAGGAAGACCCTGATTCATGAATGATTTTATACAGTATGTGACTGAGAATATCTTAAAATCAGTTTGAAAACTCACAGGTAACCAGTGTGATATTCGAAACAAATTGAAGTCAAGAACCTGGTAGCAGTATTCTGATCAAACTGGAGCTGGGTGTCAGGCGTACCAACAAATAAGGAATTACAAAATCTGAAACAAAGACGTATTCTTCGCTCAATGTGGACCACTATAAGGTCCTGATTCCTATAATGCTGTTCTTGTTTTTGTAATCATCAGATGCAGAATAGAATGATGTTTATTAACCTATATCACAGCTGATTTATTTCAACACATTCTCAGTATCTCTTGCAGGCATGTTTATGTAATGTTAAAGGGGGTTAGCAGTGAAGCTGAAGTAACTGCTTAACTGTTTCTTAAATATTTTGGCTTGTTGTCTTTCAGAGAGGCAGTTATTAAGAAGAGGAGGGTTGAATGCAATGGAGTGCCTCCATCTGAGCTCCAAGATAAGCAGCTGAAGAGCTTGGCAGCACCTCTTCCACCTGATAAAAAGGGTGAGCTCTCACTTTGCTCTCAATGTGTTTTAGTAATCACTAACCATTTGAAACTTAATGTGAGGTGTACTGTACCTTGGAAATGTACAAACACAATTTTATTTCAAATGCTTTTTTTTAGTTAAAATCTAATTTCAACTTGTAAGTGTTTAGACAGGTAGCAATATGAAATATATGTACAGCTGTCATATTGGAGATTATTTAAATCTGTCTGAAAAAAAATCAAACAGTTTTCCTCTCCTACATGCAGTGCTCAATACCAGCAAGAGGAAAGACGCCCTAAGTATTTTGTCAGTTTCCAGGGAATATTTATACTCTTGCCTGTCAGTGTAACTCAATTAGGCTAATTTGGTAATGATGGAACATCAGAGAGGGGTGACTGAGAAATGAGATAATCATGCATCACGTTACTACCAAAATGAGATTCAAACACAAAATTGGGATTAAGTGAATTGCGCATCAGTGCAGAGTGAAGTGGAAGTGAATTAAATGCTGAAGTGAAGCTGTGACCCCTTTACACTGCACAGCCGAAGACCTACAGAGGTTTCCCATGTTTTTCAGCATCTTTTCACCTTTGTTCCATCTGTTCGTAAGCTTCTGGGCACCATATGGAAGAATATATGTTTGATTGGCGCAACAAAACTCAAAGGTCTACCTATTCACTTACCACATTGAGACTAGGGGGATGTTTCCTCAGCAACTCTTTCATGAGGCCTTGAGTACAGTGTTACCTCCTGGCTGGGTATGAATTTTAAAACCATAAAGGTCATGGACTGTATTCCAGAGGTTATGTCCATAGTGCTCTGACCTGTGTACCAAAAAAATAGATCATATTTTGAATTGAAGAAGAATTTGAGTAAGTGCGTCTGTCAGTCTGAATCGCACCAAGCAGACAGATTTTATCATAAGCTTTATCTGTTTACTCACACAGGGCTGTATCCTATAATAAAATGAATAAAAATTACCCATTGTAAATTCTGCTACACAAGCAAGAATGGCAGTGGAGGAAAAGGAGGGGACCTGGGTTGGACAAGTGACAAATGCAGGGGTAATAAACTGCACTGAAAAGGACTGAGTGGGAGTATTAATTGAAGAGATGAGGGAGAAGGAACTTGGAGGGGAAGAGAAAAAGAGTTTTGAGATGATAATGGTAGGAAATACAAGTATATTTTTTTTTCTCTCTCTCTGTGCCAGAAAAGGTTCAATTATATCCAGGCAGTATAGATCCTACCTCTACCAGTTGTTATTCCCTGACAACCCCCTCTAGGAAGCACTTCACAATGACAATCAGTTACATTTGTTCCAGCCCGTATGGTGTCCGCAGTAGCAAGAAAAAGCAAAAAATGACAAGGCTCATTACAATCAGCATCTGCAGAAGCACTGCAGATCATGCCGTATATAAACATTACGTAGAAGGTTAGAACAGTGTTTCCATTTTTGGTTCTTTAGTTTGATTACTTTACAAGGAATAAACCTGTGGGTCTAATTAGATTTTAAGTCTGACTTACAGTACAGTAGACTGCATTGTTCTTTAAGGGACTGTTGTCCAAGTTGCCCTACAAGCAAAGGCTTCAAAGAAAGTGAATTTTGTTTTCAAATTCTTGCATTGAATGCACAGGAATATTAACAAATGAAGCCAATACTTATTGAGTATTCCTTCTCTGAGCCTAATTAAACCTGAAACCATACTCATTGAGAACACCATTCAACATGAAATTTCCCATTGCAGAGTACTTCTCAAAAACAGAGTTTTAACATTAGTGATACCTTCTGTTTGATTTGGTGGGTGGCTTCACACTAATATCTTGATTCAGTGAAGTAAATTCTCCACTCAGATCTGTTTAAGATTACAGAAACTCTTTGATGAAAGTATTATATAACCCTAACCCTAACCTATGTCAAATCCATAGCTAGGGTTAGGGTTAGGATTCCCACAAAACATAGGCAATTTTTGATGGCATAGCTGTGTTTTTGGACAGGAATTACATTTAGGAACAGTGATATTTCAATGTTATCTTCACGATTTTTTCTTCCATATACTTGTATGGCCATATACAGTAGACTGCATTGTCCTATAAGGGACTGTTGTCCAACTTACCCTAAAAGCAAAAGCTTCAAGTGATTATTCTTTCAAATTCTTGCATTTAAATAGAATGTACAGGAATACTAAACAACAAATCCAATACTGATACAGTATTCCGTCTCTTAGCCTAATTAAGCCTGAAACCATACTCATTGAGAACACCATTCAACATGAAATTTCCCATTGCAGAGAACTTCTCAAAAACAGACTTTTAACATTAGTGACACCTTCTGTTTGATTTGGTGGGTGGCTTCACACTAATATCTTGATTCAGTGAAGTAAATTCTCCACTCAGATCTGTTTAAGATTACAGAAACTCTTTGATGAAAGTATTATATAACCCTAACCCTAACCTATGTCAAATCCATAGCTAGGGTTAGGGTTAGGATTCCCACAAAACATAGGCAATTTTTGATGGCATAGCTGTGTTTTTGGACAGGAATTACATTTAGGAACAGTGATATTTCAATGTTATCTTCACGATTTTTTCTTCCATATACTTGTATGGCCATATACAGTAGACTGCATTGTCCTATAAGGGACTGTTGTCCAACTTACCCTAAAAGCAAAAGCTTCAAGTGATTATTCTTTCAAATTCTTGCATTTAAATAGAATGTACAGGAATACTAAACAACAAATCCAATACTGATACAGTATTCCGTCTCTTAGCCTAATTAAGCCTGAAACCATACTCATTGAGAACACCATTCAACATGAAATTTCCCATTGCAGAGAACTTTTCAAACATAGACTTTTACCATTAGTGACACTTTCTGTTTGGTTTGGTGGGTGGCTTCACACTAATATCTTGATTCAGTGAAGAATATTTTGCACTCAGATCAGTGGAAGACTATGGAAACTCTTTGAAAAAAGGTTTTAACCCTATCCCTAACCTGTGTCAAATCCATAGCTAGGGTTAGGGTTAGGATTCCCACAAAGTGTAGGCAATTTTTGATGGCATAGCTGTGTTTTTGGACAGAAATTACATTTAGGAACAGTGATATTTCAATGTTATCTCCACTTTTTTTTTCTTCCATATACCTGTATGGCCATATACAGTAGAGTGCATTGTCCTATATGGGACTGTTGTCCAACTTACCCTAAAAGCAAAAGCTTCAAAGAATGTGATTATTCTTTCAAATTCTTGCATTTAAATTGAATATAAAGGAATACTAACCAACAAAATCCAATACTGATAGAGTATTCCTTCTCTTAGCCTAATTAAGACGAAACCATACTCATTGAGAACACCATTCAACATGAAATTTCCCTCGGCAGAGTACTTCTCAAAAATAGACTATTACCATTAGTGTTACTTTCTGTTTGGTTTCGTAAAGTGACTTCATGCTAATATCTTGATTCAATGACTAATATTTTGCACTCAGATCAGTGGAAGACTATGGAAACTCTTTGAAAAAGTTTTAATCCTAATCCTTACCTATGCCAGATCCATAGGTTAGGATTCCCACAAAACGTATGCAATTGTTTATAGTATGGCTGTGTTTTTGGACAGAAATTACATTTAGGAAAAGTGATATTTCAATGTTACCTTCACATTTTTTTCTTCTATATATGTCCATATACAGTAGCTGACTAAATATAATGCTTATTAAATTGAAGTTCCATAGTTTTTAATTACTAACCTTTCAAGCTTTTCTTACTTCATTGTCCATGTGTATGTACTGTATACTGTATGTATGGTACAAATAAGACCTTTCAATTTCATGGTATATTAAATAAACGCTATGAATTATTCTGCATTTCTGCATATTTTAAGTGAAGGTAGGCAGCCAATTCTGACAAGTGAAACAGATGTACTGTATATACTGTATGTATAAGAAACACTATTCAGAAACAGCTGTGCATCACAGAAACATCAATTAATATTTATTCCCGTAATTCACAGCCCCTGAATTAGCTTTAAACACATCATGAGGGTAACAAACCTGAAGGATTTTCCGTGAAAGATACATTTGCCTTAAAAAGTACAATAAGGCTGTCCTTGGGTGCTAACTTTAAATTTGTTTTGTATACCAAAATTGGATGAATTTATATACCTTTGCCCCATTAGTATTTTGTAATAGGAACAAAAGCAAATGAATAATCCTTTCTTATTTTCTTTTGGTGTGTTTTTCTTTTACAGTGTTATTAATTCCTATTCTGGACCAAGATATTGGGGGAGTTCTGTCTGTCATCTTGGTAAGTCCTGACCAATTTGAAAATGATTACTTTTATAACTGCAAATACTGGTCATATGAAATGGAATGAGTTTATAAAGGTTGGCCAGGTTTTTCTTAACCCCATGCTTATGCTGATGCTTACCACAACACTGATATTTAAGCCACTAGACACCCATAACAAATATGACAGAACATTCTTATATAAAAAAGGAAGAAGCATCAATATTTTCCTTTATTAGTTCAGGTGGGTAGCTGCGTTAGCATGCGTAGGATGCAAAGGAACAAGTAATTGTTCCATGCTGAAAAGAGAAGAAAGAAAACATAACGTTTCGGCCGTGTCAATATTTTCTGACTCAAATTCTTTACTACTAAACATTATTCTTGGGAACTCTTCCATTGTATTCTTGTCCCCATCATTTTATCCTGCGGTCCTGCAGAAAGTTAATCTGGATACTTGTCTAATTACATCTAATTGGTTTTCTCTTCCCATGAAAATTAGAAATTTCTTTCCTTACCGTATACAGTTAATCTGTCCCTTGTTTTTTTCCATCTTTATCTGCATCTCTGTAGTCAATGAAAATCACTTTGGTTGACAGATATTCTGAAACTTTCTTTGAGTTCCCTGATCAAATCTTGGTGGGATGTGGGTCCTTTTGGTTGTCTCTCCGTCCAATATTGGAGATTGAAATCTTGATGAATATACAGTAATTATTTAATGTAATTATTTCACCATATTTATTACACCAGTCTAAGATGAGGGAGGTGGGTGATTTAAGACACCAGCTAATCCATAAGATCTTAATTCTTCATTTTTCTCTTTACATGACATGTTATGATTCTAACAGTCATGTTACCTCCTACAGATGTGTCTGTTAATATCATATCATATCTCATAGCCAAGCCATTCCATGATGCAGTATTGTTGGTAAAATAATGCTTTCAAAGTCACTGTTGCTTCTTGGTATTGCTTTTAGAGGCAAAAGCTCTGTAAATGTTTTACGAGCTTCTTGTGTGGCCATCCAAAAGGTAATTATCTCATCATCAAAGTACTCAGTGTCAGTGGAACGAAATGAGAGCTCTAATATCTAGCCCTGGGGAGACTGGTTCAAAATTACGTTGATAGTAAACATTACAGAAAGCCCTGTTGTTAGGCTCCCAAAATCAAATCTAATCAGACTGTCTTATTGCATTATATAAATTAATTATTGGAATATGTTAGAATCCAGTTTGGAAAAACAAAACAAAAATGTTCAGTCCTGTATTAACATGTCATGATTTCTCTAGGGTAAGTTAGTTTCCTGTATGAATAATCAGACAAATTGTATTTGGGACGAAGCGAGCGTGCCAGTGGCGTCACAAAGTCCCAAAGGTCTTTCAGGAGAAAAATAACCTCAGACACAAGATATGCCAAATTTTGAAGTCTGGTGCTGTCAATTAGTAAAAAGGGGAAACAGAAAAATGTGGTAGAGGATTTTTTTTCCTTGATAACATTTTCAATTATGAAATAACACTGAGTTTAAAAATACCTCAAAAGGATTTGCAATGTAATGTCTTTAATGTATGCCACACTGTCATGAATGACGTGTATTAATCTCCCACTCCTTCGGAATCCCTCTGTGCGGCACTGCAGTTGTTTTAAATTGACATATTGAAAAGGGAAGGCTGACAATGAGCTTATGCAGGCCACTCTTTTTCACTCCCTGTGCACCAATCACATAAAAAGGAAAGCAGTTTGTGCTGGCTCACTGAGAAAAATTAAAGCTGTCAAAAGTTTTGAAAGTTAAAAGCATGAATAAAGTGACAGCTTGACTTCAGTCTCCATCCACTCAAGGCCCAGCTTGTAGCCTAGGTTCTTTTTTCATTTAGCTACAATGGAGGCTGTGAGCAATGGATGTCATTTTTATAATGTCTGCATTTCCTGTGATGCTTGACTGCTGCTGAGCTCAGTGTGAATTTACATTACAGTCCCTGAACAGAGATTTGAACCATCTGCTTCTTGACTGAATACAACTCATCATACATTCACATGAATTCTAAGAAACTATACTTATAATAGTAATAATCTGCCTCTCACTGGCAATACTGCAGTTCATTTTTTCATAAGAAACCTTTTACATTTGCAGTAATGTTTTTTCTCCTTTAGACAAATTGTCATTCAGGTCTTTTGTAACTTTTGTTCCATTTTTTAGTAAATTCTGCTGTAACTGATCCCCTTTTGCATTTTATTAAGATGAAATAAATGTTCTGTAATACTTATTGATGATGGGGTCAGTGGATATTATGTTCTGGGATTTTACAATTTTATAATCTGGATGTTCTGGTTTCCTCCCACCTTCCAAAGGCATGCTGGCTGGGTTGATTGGTGTGTCGAAATTGTCCCTGTGTGTGTTCCCTGCAATGAACTGGCCTACTATAAAGAAAAAAGTCCTGTTTCGCATGATATGCTTCAGGCACAGGCTTTAGATTGTAGCGAACACTACCAGGGAAAAGGGAAAAGCACCTTTCTGATAACTGATGGTGCAATGGAAACTGTTTTGGAAAAATGTGGCTGATCTGTATAAAAAACCCATTAATGCTGTGAATGATGTGTAATGGGAAGACAGGTGTCAGAGACAGCTCAGGCTGTGATATTTAAGAGAATGTAGCATGAAGATGTTTGCCTACAGTGGAGACGTTCATTTGAATATTCACTGACATTTCATAAGCAGTGGCTTTGACATGCTTCTCTAAATAAATCCTTGCAAGGAGTTAACAATTTTCAGCTTCTATACTGTATCTGTAACCCTTTCCCCACATAGAGCCCCGTATAGTATAAACTATGCTTTCTAAAACTAAAAACTTTAGCAGTGTCATTTAAGGTGAGCTAAGAACAAGTCACTTTTGATTCAATAGTCAGATGATCTCCTTAGAGATTATGTTGAATGAGCTTTTTCCTGTAAGTGCCTATCTTGTGAGAACTAGCACTTCCCTAACATAATGTTAAACAAGTTTCAGAAAAGAAGGAAGGTACTCTGATCGATCTAACTTCACAATATTAAAATGATAGACTAACTTATTAATCTTACAGACTGACAGCTACATTGATGATAGTTTTGAATGGTAAGATAGATAGATACTTTATTGATCCCGTGAGGGAAATTGCAGTGCAACAGCAGCTTAACACACACAACACAGCCACAGTG